GCAGAAGTGGAGGGAGTAATGGCTGCCCTGTGGAGAGATGGAATCTCTGGGCTGAGTATGCAACCTTGAGATAATTCTTTAGATACTAACCAGCTAGTTAATCACGTACTTGATGGGAAAATTTACATTGGTAAATGTAAGAACTTGGAAAATAATAATATGACTTAGGATACTGAAGACCTGCAAAATGCTGGGAAAAAAATTCAAATTGCATGCCCAAACTATGTCGGAAACTTAATTGTTTTCGAAAAAGAAGCTCAGGAAACTGTGATATTTTACTTAGAAGCTCTGATTGACCATTTCTTGCTAGACCCCTGTACATCCTTTGCCGTGAGGCTCTCTGAAGACGTCTGTTTAAGCTTGTGCTTTACTTCTTCATGTGATTTCCAACTGTGTGGAAGAAATCAGTGTCTGGCCTCTAAGAAAGTAGCTTATATTCATCCAGAGACTGTAACACTGAATGAATGAATTACAGGGAAAATGAAGCCTTAAAGCAGTATGATTTCCTTTTTAAAATAGTTTAGAGTTATTTACAGAATGAGAGGAAATATGGAAACTTAGGACTTATAAATGCAGAAAGAGTTGAGACTAGACGTATAGAAAATCAGACACTTAGGGGGTTGGCCAGGCGTGGTGGCTCACACCTGTAATCCCAGCACTTTGGGAGGCTGAGGCGGGCAGACCACTTGAGGTCAGGAGTTTGAGACCAGCCTTGCCAACATGTGAAACCCTGTTTCTACTAAAAATACAAAAATTAGCCAGGCGTGGTGGCATATGCCTGTAATCTCAGCTACTCGGGAGGCTGAGATGGGAGAACCTCTTAAACCCCAGGAGGTGGAGGTTGTAGTGAGCTGAGATTGTGCCACTGCACTCCAGCCTGGGTGACAGAGCAAGACTCTGTGAAAAAAATAATAGAAAGATGCTTGGGGGCCTTTTCCCTTCAGACCAGCAGTAGGGCTTAAAGAGCTAATTAACATGTTAATTAAAATGGCAGTTGAGTGTAAGCTAGAACCAGTAGAACCCAGGCACACTTAATTAAAGGAAGCCCGTAGTTAGTCCTGTCTGAAGGAACCCCAGTAGCTGGTTAGGATATCAAGGTCAGCAAGGATTCAGGTTGCTGAGATACAATGTGTGTTTAAATGGAACTTTCTTAAAACCAACAGAATGCAGTAAAAATGATACTTTGTAATTCCCAAGGCTGGGCCAGAAAGGCAATGAAAAGGAATGAAAGTCTGGCCTTGAGCTCTGGAATACCCATGCTGGAGCCCTGTGCTGGCATGGAGGCAGTCTGACATCCCTGAGGCTGCCACAGTGAGAAAGCCTAAGCGAGCCCCTGTGAAGAGAGCCTGAGGCTGCACGGACAGATGCCCTGCCAGCCCTCGGTTTCTCCAGACTGTCTGTTTCACCATCTCTCTCAAGCTACATGACAGATCCCAAGCCAGGCTGCCCAAGTGAATCGTTTGAGAATTCATGGCTCACAAAAACTCAGAGATAATTAAGCCATCATTTTAGGTCACTAAACTTTGTAGTGATTTGTTATACAGTGATAGTAACTGGTATCTGGAAGCATAAGTACCAAAATAAAAATAAGCTATGTGGCACTGGGTGGAAGGGCCTCGAGGAGACTGTTCATGAACAGCCCCTAAAGGGCCTTGCAGAAGCTGTTACCAGAAGCCTGAAGTCTCAAGCATGTTTTTGGGGAGAGCTGAAGGAATTGAGAGTGGGAGAAAAGGTGTTTGGCAACACTGATGCCATGGTAACATGGAAAATAGGAGATGTACCCAATAAGTAAGGTGATCTAGCCAAGCAGATGTCTAGACAAAGTATGAAAAGGACCCCTTGGCTGCTCTTTGCTGCCTGTGACACAAGGTGAGAAGAGAGATGAATGAAGAAAAGCAATTACATATAAAGGAGGTGAGACTGTTTCTCATTTGCAGACTCTCTTCAAGGTGAAAACTGATTTTCAAATATGAAATGGCTTCAGTGCAAAAGTCAAATCCAGGATGGGACTGTAAGGTCCTCTGTGAGGACCTCAGAAAGATCTAAGGCAGTGTTTTTAGACCTTTTCAGACAGGCAGCAGTCTGCCTTCTAAAGTTGTGCCTTTCGGGTTCCCTCCGTTAAACAGTAGGGTTTCTCGGATTATTAGGGGTGTTCTACAGCAATCTCCCAATGAGCCTCTGCTAATGGAGTGGATTTCATAAACTGACACTTGAGAAACCCATAAGGTTTTTAAAATAAGGTCAGCTTAGACTGAAAGACAAAGAGACAGTACAAAATGAGGAGTCTTTCTACTCCTGAAATTGTATAGGCAGGCAGTAGATTGGGAAAACTACTCAGCTGTAAACACTTTTTTTTTTTTTTTTAATGAAAAAGGAAGGATGTCCCAGAGGGTAGAAACAAGCACAGAAAGCAGAGCCAAGAATCATGGAGAGAAACCCCCAGAGAATAGAACCAAACCCTAGTCAAGGACCTTCCAGGGTGTACCCTTGCCATAGACCAGAGATTGCCGTGCGCTTTCCCTTCCCCGCTTCTTGGATAGTGTGTCTGTTGCAGTTATTCCAAGCCTGTACCACCATTGCCTAGTGGGTGTGGAAGGGAAGAGAGGAGGTAATTCTCTCTCGATTTCACAAGCCTTTGGATCACGAAGAATGCAACTCAGTGTGCTATCATTGAAGAACCACATCTGAGGAGCTTTATATGATGAGCTCTTGGGCCTCAAGCCTGACCCTGAAGTCATAATGGTATGAGACTTTTGTGGTTTCTTCAGAGGGGATGAACAATCTTGCATGGGAAAGGATGTGAACTGTGGCCACAAGGTAGACTGTAGCCGACTGTTTTCCAAAGATGATGGCAACAGTATCTTTTATGCCACATATTCTTCTAGAAACTTGCCTCACCCCATCAAGAGATGGAGTCTGATTCCCTTCTTGAATGTGGATGGGCTAGTGGCTTTCTTGTTACCAGTAGAATACTGTGGAAATGATACTTCGTGACTTCAGAGGCTAAGTCAGAAAAGATAAAACTTCCAACTTTGCATGAATACTTGTGCTGGAGACCACAGCCTCTGTGTAAGTAGCACCACTCCCCCGAGACTGCAGGCGCAGAAATCCCCAATCAGCCCCCAGCTGCTCCAGGCCTGCTTCAGCTCCAGCTGCCACCGACTGCAACTACATGAGAGACCACGAGGCGGAATCATCCATTTGAGCCCTTCCTTTTCAATTTTCTGGCCCACAGAAGCCAGGAAAAATGATAAAATGATTGTCTTTGTTTTAAGCCACTAGGTTTGCGTGTCAGGTTGTTATGGAGCAATAATAACTGAACCCACTCCCATCACCACCCAATCCTATAGAAACCATTATAATGTGATATTTCCTTTTATTTTATGTGACCCTAGAGTTCTTTTGTGAGAATGCATCTTTCATTTATGTATGAATGTAATACTGGGAAATATACTTTGCTGTTTTTCCCCCATTCAGCATTTTTTAAATGTCCATGTCACCGTGTCCATCGGTCTGTTGTTTCCAGCTGCTGTGTAGCGTGCCATAGGGTGTATCCACTGTATTTTCCTTACCTGTTTCTCTAGTGACAAAGCGCTACATTGCCTCCAATACCCGTCTCGCAACTATCCTGGGACAAGTCCCCTTATAGCTCTCAGTGGGAGTTTCTTGGGATAATACACCTGGAGTGGGAATGCTGGGACAGAGGGAATAGTATACTTCTAGCTACACGCTGCTGGCCATCTCTGCAGCCTCACTGCACCAGTCCACACTCTCACAGCATCAGGGACTTAAGCGAATAAGAAGATGCTTGCTTACTGGCCCAGCTTCTACATTTTATTTATAAAAAGAACCAGTGAGTCTGCTGGAGGGTTTGTTTTCCATCACTTCCTTTCATGAAGGTCTTACTTCAGATGTCACCTCACCAGCCTGTGGGTAGGGCCACCAAAGTATCCCATCTGTCTCCTCCCTGTTATCCTGCCCTGCCCATCTTCATAGGTGTTATAATTTGGCATTTGTCTGTCTGTATGTATTTAGTGTGTCTCCCTCACCACACAAGTATGATGTTAGGTGCACAGTAGGTGACCAGTGAAGATTTGTTATGAATGAATTACTCAGGGCCTGGTTTAACCTGGTGCCATTCTGAAGCACTCCACAGCTCCTCACCTGCCCGTCCTCACTTAGTGAGGAAGGAGTCTTGAGATGTACTGCGCCTCCCTGATCTCTCCCTGCCTGCAGGTTGGGCTCACCATGCACAAGGGTGAAGGGTATTAGGACACTCTATTCACATGTAGGACTATCTTCTCAGGGCAGAATTTTGGTTCTATCCGTGTTTCAGGTACCATTGGTGTCCTAAGTGTTTGTAATGAGGTCACCATTTCTTGTTGAATGAATAGAATCATTAGGCCCTAGTTTAGTGTTATTTAATGATCCTAAGACAAATAAAGAATGGTAAAAAATGCATTCAATAAAAAGTACTTGAATAAATAATATAGCACTAAACTGTCTGTTACTAAAGCCACTAGCTGTATGTGGCGAATTACATTTAATTACAGTATAAAATTCAGTTCCTCAGTCACGCTAGCCATACTTGAAGTGCTCAGTAGCCATACGTGCAGTTATAGCCAGTGTGCTGTGCAGACGTAGACCTTCCCATCATCAGAGAAAGTACTATTGGGCAGTGCAGTGTAAAAAACTCAGCTCTCTAGGGGCGCATGTTCTGAAAATGCAAACCTGCTTTTAGAGGTTTTGATGGAATCTCTTTTGCCTCTTTCAAGATCAAAAGAGTCAGAGTTCTATTCTGTTATTAAAAATAACTACTTCTGTGTTTTTGCCTACTTTAGATTTGGGAAGACAGACGTCTTCTTTCCTACTGACTTATGTTGGGGGACACCCGCCCGCAGCCTACCTACTGTGTGTGTACAGCTCCACATAGTTGCATTGAACATACCTACTGTGTGTGTACAGCTCCACATAGTTGCATTGGAACATTAGCACCAAAGTCACACTGAGATAGAATTTATTGTCAGAGAATGAACATTTTTTTTCGGATGAACAAATCTGTTCTACTTTTCACATGCCGTGTTCATTGTCCCTCTTTTGGGAGCCTGGATGAAAAGCTGGAAAGTTGCTTTTTTCCCTTTTGTTGTCATTAATTCTTCAAATTCCAAAGTTGTGTATTTAAGAGTAGATTTAGTAAGTTGTTGCTAGCATCTGCTGCTATTTTAAAATTATAAAATAAGAATTAGGGGGAAAATCAATTGTTATAAATTTATTTGGGACATTTATTGCCACCACATTGGAAGCCTTTGAAAATTCAAACAGAAACCAATACACTTCCATCTTTTTTACTTCCGATAAATAATATCTTTGTGTATATGTATATATAGATAGATATACTTAATCAATAAGTCATTTAGCAGGGATTTTACATTTTATACTGCATTCATCCAAAACAGCTCTTTCCAGATCGATAGGATGCAAATGAGGTAAGAATTAAGGCAAACCCAAAAGGCATGCAAATGTAGTACATTTATATTCACTGATAATACAAGCTCTTGTGGTGTGTGGACCAGACACAGGAGCCAAGGGTCCCTCTGTGTCTGTCCAATACTATTTTACAGGAGGGTAGTGACATAGCTTATAATTAAGTTACATTACCATGGGGGTCTCAGTGCTACTAACATTATGTAATCAAGGAGATACAAGCATTAGCAAAACATGAACAAGAAATCATATAACTCTTTGCAGTACATTTCTGCCCAGGCTTTGGAGGAAGAGGGATTTTTATGAAATGATATTACACGTATCACATTGTGGCAGGTTGTTTTGTTTTGTTTTATATATGCTTTTAAAATTCATTAGCAAATGACATTCTCATGCACACAAGTGTTTCAAACACAAGAAGCAAGTCCATTTATAGGTAGTCCAAGCAATATTTGTGTGTGTGTGTGTGTGTGTGTGGGTGTGTGTGTGAATAGCTGCAGACTGAATGGAACATTGAGACTTTTGTGCAGTCCATAGCACTGACATCAGCTCATTTCTGGATGTCGCACTGCAGAAGTAATACAATGGAAGGGTCGCTCTTTGCAGCTTCTTTGAATTCATCCAGTGTAATCTGGTCATCTTTGTTCTTATCCATCTTGCTGAAAATCTTGTCTACTCGCTGCTCAGGCGTCAGGCCATCCTCGTTCATTTTCATCATGATCACAGTGCCTACCATTTTGTAGATAGCCTTGTGGAAAAGAGCATTGTAGGTGATATTACCAGAAACCCAGGAGGACAGAGAGCTCTTCTTGCCTCCCCTTCACCTGACTGGATCCCACCTATCCTCCAAGCCTCAGCTTCCCTTTCCCCAGAGGAGTTTCACTCCTTGTGCTCAAGTTTCTGTGACAACCCATACCATCTCCCCCATCAGAATACATCTCGCCTTTATTAAAATAACTGCTTCGTCTTCCCCACTAAAGAGTACATTCTATGGAACTAGAAACCATGTGCTCCTGCAAGTCCAGGGCTTGGTACGATGCCTGGCACATCGTAGGACTCAATAAATACTGATCAAATGAAAAAGCTTTAGCTGCTGGAACATGGGATGTGGGGCAAGGGGCAGTAGTAGGGAGGGCCAGGTGAAGTGTTGAAAGATGAAGCTGGAGAGAGGGAAATGAGAAGCAGATCACAGAGTTTTCCTAGGATAGGATAAAGAATTTGACTTTATTTCAAATAACTCCTTAAATGCTACTGAATAAGAGATGACATAATCAAATATGGGTGAGTCTTGTGACCAATTGGATATAGAAGAATTTGGGGTGGCTCCCAGGTTTCCGGCTGGAGGAAGTGGTTAGAAAGGGTGGCTCAATGGCGAGATTAGAAATGATGGATTAGGAATAGGTTAAGGGAGGAACACGATGGGTTCAATTTTAAACATTCTGCATCTAGGTGCAGAAAACAGTCAGAAAGCCTTGGGGATTTAGGAAAAGATGCAATGTGGGGCCAACCGATTAGAAACTTAGAGTCTAGTAAGCCAGCCAAGCCAGGGGTACCATTAAAGTTGAACTCTGCAAAAAGTTACTTTAGGGAGAGTTGTGGAGCAGGGACTCTGTTTATGAGTTAAAGAGTAGAGTGAGAAGATTTCAATTATCCAGGCCAACTAATTGTATACAATCAGTTCTTAATATGGAATTTCCAAAGTATAAATTATTTTCTTTCTTAGAAAAGTGCCTTAAAAATAAATGCCCATCTATACAAAGACTTGCATGAGAACATTCACAACAATATTATTAATAGCCAAAATGTGGAAATGACCCAAGTGCTCATCAACTGTAAGCAAATAGGATACAGCTATACAGTAAAAAGTACATACTATTTCAGCAACAGAAGACAATGAATATGCTACCACATGGATAAATCTCAAAAATTTAAAGAAGCCAGACGCAAAAGGCCATATGTGATGTGATTCCATTTGTGTCAAATGCCCAGAAAGGCAGCCAATTCCATGGAGACACAGTGATGTGTTGGTTGCCAGGGCCTGGGGTAGGAGCAGGCCTTTGGGCATGAGGGATCTAATTGGGGGAATAAAAATGTTTTACATTTACATTATGGTGATGGTTGCATATCTCTGTACATTTACTAAAAATCATTTAAGTTGTACACTTAACATGGGCGAATTTATGGTCTGTAAATTATAACCCATAAAGTTGTTTTTAGAAATGCCAATCAGAGCAAACCACTAACAAGAAAGCGCTTTATTTAACAAGTTAAAATCTCCACTGAGATAAAATATTTTGTGTGTGTTTACTTTTGTAGCTAGATGGTATTGATGTATCATGGAACACTTTAAGAAAGTTGTCTCCAAAAGAGGCAGACTTTCCGAAATTTCATTTTGTGGATAATTGGTAGACAAGGTCCTGACTAGTCTAGAAGCCAGAGTGGTGCACAAGCGAAAAGCAGGGAAAGTGTACCGTGTCTGGAATTTAAAAAGAGACAAATGGTCCATCCATATGTGAGCTGCCACTCTCACCCTGGCCTTTAAAAGGTGAAATCAAAAGCCCTTACATGAGGCAATGGATATGAAGACAATAAGACAAGTGCACTCTTAATAAAGTCAGGGTAATAAGAAATGTAAACACAAGAGGTCCCTCCTGAACCTCAGGAAGCAACTCTGAAAATGGCAGGATCTCAATAATTGTATCCATGATGCAGCCCTGCATTTGGGACTGTGAACACGACAACCAAGAAGGGCCGTTTCAGATGCAGACTATTACAGGTAATAATATCACGAAGGCCGGGCATGCCAGACTTGGAACTCATTGCGAACCTGCCCCTGTGGTTCCCAGCCCTGATGGACCTGTACTGACTTGCCTTTCACTATAACTAGAAAACTGGACAAAAATAAAAGAAATAGCTGTGTTCAGACTTTAGAACTGACACTGCAAGACTGTAATTCCTAGGAGGTGGGAAACAAAGTAGATGAACCCTATGATCTCAGCCCGGAATTCCTTCCTGGACTGCAGCAGCACAAGGAGGAGGGTCCCAAGCAGGGCTGTCTCACCGACCGGAGGAGACAGCAGTTGGAGGCGGAAGGTGAAGATAGCCAGAAGTTTCGGGGTAGAGGACCAGAGAGGAAGCTAGGCAGAGAGAAAACTTCAGCAATCTGCCTAGGAGGTCTCCTCGATGTTTGTCTGGAAACTAGGCTGCACACAGAGGCTGAAAGTCCACAAAGAAGTTTCCGAACAATAAGCTGAACAACTCTTGGTGCTCACACAGGCTTGCAGAGCATTCTAGTTCTTAATGCAAAGAGCTTGCTAAATGCCTGGGCATTCGGGAGGGCTATTGTCCATTCCTCTTCTTTTTAAAGCAAAGTTTCTTGCATGAGTTTTCTATAGTCACTGTCTTTACTTCTTCCACTCCCATTCTCCTGGGCTGCTCCAACTTCTCTGAAACTATTCTCGGTGAGTTCACCTATGGCCTCCAGGTTTCCAAATCCAATTGTCAATGATTACTTTTCTTTTTTACTTCTCCTATCAATAGCGTTTGACATGATTGCGCGTTCCATTCCTTCCCCGCAAAACAGTGTGTTTCCCTTCCAGGACTTCTCACTTTTCCTTTTTCACTTTGACCTTAGTGACAATTCTTTCTCCATCTCCTTTACTTATTTGCCTCATGTTCTTCACCTCTAAACATCAGGTTGCCCCAGGGCCTCAGTCCTCTGGAAACCTCTTTTCTATTTATATTCTCTGTCTAGTTACACTCTGATATATCTTCTTTCACTTAAATATCTGAATAAGTATCACCACACACCGGGCTGGTTCCAACCAGCCAGAGTACAGAAACCTCACTAAATATATGAGAAAATCAATAAGAACCCCAAAATGGTCACAAGTTGGTCACTGGGCTAACTTACTTCAGAAAACCTACTCTCCATCTGCTCTAAAAGCTTAAAATTGTAAAGCTGCCTCAAAAAAATCACACTAATTTACATATAACTTACCTGCCTGTCAAAACTAATCTCGGCACTCTATAAATGAAGACAACAAAATACAGACACTATAGTGTAACATTTATAACGTCCAGGAACCAATAAAAATTATTACACGTGTCACAAAGCAGGAAAATGTGACCCATAACCAAGTGAGAAATCAATCCATAAAAGCTCCCCATGAGAAAGCTATGCTGAATAGAAGTAAGGAAGAGCTAGAAGCAATGGGGAGAAATGTGAAAGAACTAAGAGAAATAAAAGCAGCCGCTGACAGCCAGGAGCTGGTCTGGACTGTCCACTGACAGCCTTGGTGCTGCCGGGAGCTGGCCCGGCCCTCACACTCAGTTTTCACACCAAACATAACCAATGTCACAAAATGCCAGTGACCATGATGGAGCAAGGCAAAAACAAGACCACTCTGTCATTAAATCTGAACACAGACCCAAAACACCAAGCATCTCTGCTTCCTGCTATGATGAGTGACCACTGATTCTTCACCCATTAGAGCATTGAGTCGGTGTGTGGGCCCCCCTCCTAGATACCCAATCACAGAAGTGTCCCCACTCCCTGACAGCACCCAATCCACAGTAAACCTCTGCTTCCCCAAACCCTCCCCAAATCACCCTCCCAAAGTGCAGATCCTAGAAGTCCTTTCTAACACCCTCCTGCTGAATTGCACCAAGATTCCCTCACTGCAAGCAGTAATAAACTCAACTTGTGTAAGTGTGGGTATGTCCTTGGGGACTTTGGCTGAAGGGCATTGACAAGGATTAGAGAGAAAAGTTTTGGAGAGAAAGGGATTTGGTGTCCAATGAAGGGAAATGACAAGAAGTCAAAGAAGAGAAAAAAACTTGGAAAAACCAACTCTGTAGGGACCTTATAGAGAGACCTTGGAGGGAGCCAAGTTAAGTGTGGAAGATGGACAAAAGATTAAAGAGTGAGAAAGATGAGAAAATCAAGCCACGTATTTAGAATTATTGTGCTGTATCTTTTCTAATAACCTGTTTGAAAAAACATATATTTAATTGAATGAAGGGAATACAAATAAGGAACTAAGATGTTAGTTTTCTGGGTATGTTTGAAAGGGAGTGGGCATTGAAGATAGAAGGGGAGAAGCCAACAGAGAAGAAGAGACTAAAGATGTGGAAAGAGAGGGTGTGCAAGTGAACAAGGCCAGCTTCCCAGGCAGTGGGTTGACGGGTGACTTCTCTCTGAAGCTGGGAGGAGAGTGAGAGTGCTGTGGGGACTCTGGGGCTTTGGCTTCTGTTTCTTGCAGTCATCCCATTTTCTTGTGGGAATCCATCCCGCCTGATCTCAGCTCCTGGTGTCTGGATGGGGCATCCCCCCAGCTCCAGGATGGAGCACCTGGCTCTACCTTCAGCAAGTGGTAAATTTCTCTCCTTGGTCAGAGTGGCTGGTGCAGGGGTGGGAATCCATGCTAAGACAGTCAATCAAAGGAAAGCTACTGAATCATGCATCTGCTTTTGCATGCCTGCCAGGCTCCAGGCTGGGTCTGGGTGCTGGGCATGCAGCCGTGAGGGCAGAGCCTCCTCACAGAGCTTGCATTCTGCCGTATATTCCACTGAACAAGGTAATCTGGGGCAGGGACAAACGTTGGGACAAAACCCCTCTTGGTAAGGGTTAGATTGCTTTGGTGTGGGGGTGGAGTGGGCATATTTGGGAAGGGATGTGGGAAGGAAGGCCTCTGTGGGAGGTGGGATAGGACCAGAGATGGAAGTGAAGTGAGGGAGGAGCCCCCAGAGGCCAGGGGAGGACATGCTGGGCAGAGAGAGAGGAAAACCAAGAAGACCTTCACATTGGGAGTGCAGTATGCAGGGGCTGGCATGGCAGAGGAATCCTGGGTTACTCACAAACACAATGGGCAAAGCCTGCTTGCTGTGAAATGATCAGAACCTGGAAGGATGTCCTGGGAGCCCCTGACAGCCTCGGAACCCCACTAGGTGCAGCTGGAGTGAGGCACAGCAGAGATATGCCAAACACAAGAGAAACTGAGCCCATGACATCCTTTGTGCCCAGTAAGACAGGTTCATGGGAGATCCGGTAGTGAGTGAATGGCAGATGACAATGCCACTGTCATGGCAGTACGGGCCCCAAGGCTTGGTTCTGGGACCTCCCCAGCACTGTGCTGCAGTGGGAACAGAAGCAGGAGAAGTCCAGGCGTGGTGTGCAGCTGGCAGGGCTCAAGCAGAGAGAGAAGGAACCACGAAGGCCCTGCACCTAGGAGGCTGCCGTGGGGTCTCCTTCTGTGCCCACCACCCGCCAACCACGCCCCAGGCCTCACCTCGATGATCTCCAGCATCTCCACTCGGGTGATCTTGCCATCACCATCCAGGTCATACATATTGAAGGCCCAGTTCAGCTTCTGCTCAAAGCTGCCCCTGGAGGTGATGGACAGAGCGCAGATGAACTCTCGGAAGTCGATGGTGCCATCTCCATTCTTGTCGAAGGTTCGGAAGGCATGCTGGGCAAACTTGGAGGCGTCTCCATAAGGGAAGAACTGCAAAGGAGAACACACGCAGTCAGGTGTCGGGAGGGGACGGAATTGGGGCGACGAGGTAGGTTCCTAATGACAGCACCACAGGTGCTCCAGGGCGTTGTTAGAGCCTCACCCATTGGAGAGCGGTTTGGCCTGACTGTCAATGGCAGGCATTAGGGGAGGCTTTCTCACAGCAGGTACTCAGGTATAGGCACCTCATTGTTTCCTGTGGGTGAGGTTGGTGACATGTGGCTTTCAGTCGATGGGGCTTGGAGTTGGTCAACAAGCACCACCTGACGCTAGTGTTGTAGCATCTCTGCTCACTGCCCCCAGGAACAAGACTGAGGCAGACAGCAGTTTCTCTCCCCACACAGGCGGTGCTACACGAACTTCCATGTTCCTTTAGATATGAGAATCCAGCTTCATTGCTGCCCAGTAGGGCCAGAGGGAGGGTGCCTGGACCTAGTTTCTCCTGCCACCAGCCCTCGTCTTGGGCCCACACTTATCCCCTCCCTGGGTGAGGTTCCAGTTTCTGACTTCTTTTTGCAGGGATTTTTCTTTTGCAGAACAGACATTTAAAACTCATTAAAAATAGAACATGACTGGGCTTATTTTCGAGAGACATAAAGAGGTTTCTTCACAGAGCCAACTGTCACCAGGGGTGTGTGGGAGGCAGAGAATGGACACAAGGAGGAAAGGGAAGCAGAGACCACAAGGAGGGAAGGCCATAGGGAATCAGTAGGTGGTGGCCTCAGTTCCCTTGGACATAAGCCTAGGCCAGTCACAAACAGCAGGTAGTACTGATAATTAACAAGGAAGAACTGCAAAGTCCCAAATACAACCAAAAACAAACCGTGTGCTATTTTAAAGCAGAGAAGTTATGTATGCGTTTCTGGATGAAAAAATCTGGGTTCTGGGCTCTACAGACAAGCACTACAAGGTCTATAGGAGATTACTGAGGATGTTCATTGATATCCCTACTCCTTCATAAGTTTTGCCACCTGCTGAGTGGACCAGGTGAGCAGCCTTCATACAGATGGCCTCTTAGCCCACTCTGGGCTATCCGCCTCAAGGAGCCCTTGGTCCATCTTTCTCACTGTGCATCCCGCCCTGGGTCCTGCAGAGCCCTGCTGCCCACTCCTCCTGCACCTAGAAGCACATTGGAAGGTAGAAAATTTCCCTCCAGACATAAGACATACTTTAACAGAGAAGGATTCTATACATAGGGCCCAGGGAACAGCCAAGCATTCCAGGAGGAAGAAAGTACCCATTGCTTATATTTCGGTAGTACCCACTGCTAGGCACAATGACCTGTTCCAGAGACTGTTACTCTGTAACAAATCACCCCAAAAGCTAGTGGCTTGAAATGACAACAATCATTTTATTATCTCACGAAATAAACATTTGAGACCCATTTCTTTTTTTCATCAAACATATCTTTTCCTGGTTACAAAAGACAATGTTCTCTTATGTTCCCTCGTCCCCTAAACACATCTTTCATTTCTGTTATCCTTCATTTTTCATTATTCATCAAAATTCACTAAGTTCTTTTTCATGTCGGGCCCCGTCTTGAGTACTATGGTCTCAGAGGGCAGTACCTCAAGGTCTCTGTGTTCCGAGACTGCACAGTTAATGGGGGGACTTTACTCAAAACTGACTTGGTCATGTTACTTGATAAGAACTAGAACAGAGGAGAAGGCAAAGTATTACTAAAGCTCAGAAAATGAGTGTTCATTTCAAGGAGGGAGTTGTAGAGGGAAGGGCTTTCCTTCTTTGAACAGCTCAGCATGACCTCAGCCCCTCACCCCCAATGCTACTTAGGTGCTTGGTACCTGAGGACAGGCTGCCAGGTGCTGAGTTTTGAACTAAACAATGTTGAACCTGAAAACTTCCAAATAGGCAAGTTTGCTCCTCCTGTGCCTTATGCATGAGTGGTCCTGGTCGCTTTCTAGAGGGTGCCATTTGCTGATGTGTTCATCTGCCTCGTGATTAGGAGCCTGGGCGGAGCTGGCACCTGTGAATCTGACTTGGAGTGGAGCAGAGCGAGCCCCTGGGCAGGATCCCAAGTCCCCTTAGTGCTGTTTACCCGCCAGCATTTCTATGTGCAGTTGGCATGAGACCAGTGGGCACGAAACCTCCATTCATGTAGGTTGCTGGCAGTGTAATGCTTTAACTATCTTATGTCTCACAGCCTACTTTAAGGTTAAGGGATATTTCACAGTTTTATCTAAAAATAGCCGGGCATCTTAGGTCAGTATATTAAAAATTAATTTAGGTATAAAAAACCTTGAGAGAAAAATCAATGGTGAATTTTGAGCTATAAAAGTTACATATGCCTTGCAGAAGGTCTGTATACTGACTTTTACAGCCAACATGTTTACTTTAGAACTGAGTGTGTACTCAAGAGCCCTCAAATTTCTGGAGGGGTTCTTTCCTTTAGGAAATTTATCCTATCATGTTCTGAGTGCTTTGAGTTTTCCTAACTAGGAAAATGCTCCTTATTTTGACAAAATAATTCAACTCTAGATGGATCATCACAGAGAAACGAAGCCGCATTCTCTTCAATTTCTGTAGGAAGAAGTCAGGGTCTTGAACTCAGATTTACTTTTCTCGGAGGACAACAGGGCCTGAAAAGCACAGTATTTTTCTTTTTTTGCATACTCTTGCTCAATTTCTTTTTAACTCAATGTATTTTTCTTGAACTCTAGTATTAAATTTTGACATGGAAGTAATATTTCATGGCAGTAATAATCTATAAATAATACGATAGATACAAAGAACTTTGAGGTTGAAGAATTATAAATATATACACACACTCATATGTATATGTATATACATATGAGTGTGTATTAGTGTTCTCTCACTTACTTTTCATAACAAAATCTGACATTGTACATTCCATTTTGTGGACGAGGAAGTGGAAGCCCGGAAAGGTCAAAGGCATTTGCCTAGGATTCCTGGCTGTCTGCAGCAGAGGCTGGATTTGAATGCAAATCTTTCTGACCGTTTCTGCCACACCTTGAGATTTATCTTAATCAAGTGTTAGCTGAGGAAATAAACTTAACTCCACATTTGATGAAGCAACCAAATTTGTTGCCTTATGTAATTATTAGCATCCATTGCCTCTGAAGCTTGAAATTCTCTGCTCTGAGTATTTTCGCCACCTTCTGGCAGCACTTATGTACTGCAAGGAAATTACTAAGATGCTACTGAGTTACTTTCTGACTCATTCTTTAACTCAACACTGAGCAGCTGCTATGTGTCAAGGACGGTGTTAGGTGCTGGCAATAAAATAGAAGAAAGACGTAGAGCATTCAGGACAGTGGGGGGAAATAGGCATTAATCAAACCACCATATAAAGAAGTATAAAATTATACTGTGATAAATTACAAGCGTATGGACCTGCGAACAAAAGTAACGGACATGATATTGTCAGTTTCAAGCTTTAAAACATTCGTATGTGGTCCTTTCCCCCCATCCTAATATACAGGTTGCTGACAATTCATTGTTCTTCATCATAGCCGTGAGTTTCACAGTCTGAGACATCTTGGGATTACACAGACCTTGACTGCTCCCGGTTGTACTCTACACCCTGTCCCTGAACCGACCAACCCACAGAAGAAAACCCCAGGAAACACTTGAGGTATTTTCTTTCCCCAGGCAGACAACAGGAGTCTTTGCGTGGTTTAACCAGTTTCCTCCTGAACGGGGCAGGAGCTTTTCCTACAGACAGTGGGCCCGACTCTGCATTTCTTTCTTTTCAGTAATCTACCTAGTTGTGAATATCAAAATGTTTGTTTCCTCTAAGAGGTGGCGCATGAGAACCAGACACATTAGCCTCTGGGCCTCCAGGGCTCCACCCAGCGTGGGCACAGAAAGGCTGTGTGATCTACAAACACTGTGCCTCTCTCCGTTGACATAACATTTCCTCTGCACCCCCTCTCCCAGCCCTCCCCAGCACCATTGCTGCCTGGATAGCTTATCCTTCCAGAGAAAATATTGCAACATTTCCCACATGAATCTCTCCCCTCCAAAGATCCCTGGTTCACTGCCTCAATGTGATGGAGGAGGCAGCTCCCCAAGAAGTTCTCCAGCCCAACCCTTGGGTGGGGGTGGGGTGGGCACAAGCAAGGCTTTGGCCAGGACTCGCCCTTGCCCATGCAACAGCTGATGTGCTGTGTCAGAAGAGGTGGCGGCAAGGCGACTTTGGAGGATGCCTCTCTCCAGGGCTCTGCCCAAGGCCCAGCTCCTGGCTAATGCTGGGCAGCCCTCAGACCTCAGAATAGATTTCTGACCATTAGTCTGCTGGAAATAGAGCTCATGACAGGAAACAGGGCTTCAAAACACCAGAAGAGTACTCTTGGACTGCTCCGCTGCTCACAGTCTTGGAGAGGTCTGCCACCCAGTCCCTCGTAAGACATGGTTGCTTTTCAAACACCCTCACTTGGGTCAGTTTTGTTTCTTTTGTTCTCAAATTTCAAAGGCCTATTTCGCTTGACCTGTGAACGTACAAATACAATCACCCTGCAATACAGTTGCTGCACCTCCAAGGTCATCTCCCCTTACCCTGCCGGAATTAGCCAGTGTCTTCTAGCCTGTTCTGGATGACCTGGTCTTGTACCCACCTCTTCAGGCCCTGCTGCTGAGACAGTGGTTACTGTTTCATGAGTGTCTCTCATGGAACAAGGCCCTAAGCAGGTCCTTCTCACAGGCCACCCCAGCTGATTCTTTCAGCAAGGGTAGGACTTGGAGGAGGGTCATTTTTCTGAGGTAATTGGCATGAGGTCACATCACTAAGGGGTGCAGGGGTATCAAACTCAGTGCCATCTGAGTCAAAGCCCTGGTTCTTCCCAGCACCAACTGCAGTCTCCTTCTCCTCCCACACTAGCCCTGCAGACAGACCCTCAGTCTCTCTGTTCTGGGGTCTTGACCTTCCTTGGCTACGCTGTACCTCGGAGGCTCCCTCTCCCTCATGCACTGTCAGGCTGCTCTTTGCTTTAGGCCTGCTAGGCTTGTTTACC